CCCAATGCGAATTTCTCTCTAAATTGACTTAGCTTATGGAAGTTAATTTGGTTGACCTAAACTTAGTAGAGATGTTCAAATGTGAATAATGTAATCCTATTTTTTAGATGAGCAAAAAGTCTTGGAGACTTTACGTTAGAGTTTAATTGAGCCAGAGTAAGGAAACATGACTCAAAGTCTCCGTGGTTTTGTTGCCTTGTTTGGCACAATAAAAACTGATGCCTGCGCTATGGTTAGCGGCATGCTACGTAGTTTTGATTGGTGAGTTTTGGAGTTGTGAAATTAGTAAGCCCTCAATAGATCTGTATATGATCTTGACTATTGAGCTGTGCGGATTGACTTTGTAATTTAACTTGTACTAATGTTGCATCATTGGATGAAGTAACATTCAAGAGTCACGCCATCTAAGAAATGCGAGCTTAAATGAATTAGTCATTAAGTGTAAGACGAGTAACTAGTATGATCAATGTTTTGCTCTCTACCCAACTGTTGGGAGTGGATGGAGCAAAAATTTCACACACTATAGTAGTGTACATTAAAGTATCACTTGAAGTTAAAAGATTAGTGCTTAGTAGCAGCAAAAATCTATTAACACTAAGTGAAAAGATTAGCACCAAGTGACTGCAAAATCTATTAGCATTGCCAACTTGTCCAAGTCTGGACACTTACTGTTTCCACACTTGAGTGTGAGACATGATGAGGCGCTTCTTTATATGATTCCTTAGCTAGGCTAATGCTTTTGAATAACGTTTACCACTTAGCAAACGTTGCAACATAGTAATGAAAAGGTCAAGGCCGACAAGGTTGTTATGACTCTAAGAATTTGACGCATGGCTCGTGAGAGCATTGTGTTGAATTAGACTCTTTAGCCTAATTCGCGCTTAAGTTACTTCGGGAGTTGTCATAGATTGATAGCTTATTCTCTCCTTCTTGTGGATAGTAGAATTAATTGCAAGTAACTATGAAGCGAGAAACAGAGATGGCAAGAGGAGTATCGTCATCTTTCAACTAGATGCAGTAAAGTGTATGGAGAATAAAATTGACTTGAAATGCAGGGGATTAGCACTTGCTAGTTAAATTTGCGACTTAGGTGCACTTGATATCTCCATAACATCCTTTTATGATCTAGTGAACATGAATTTGTCGTGAGTCATTACCTAGTTGGGCCTAAAACCTTTAAAACTTGCCTTCGAGAATTCACGCATTAGCATGATTGGAATTAGTTTATGACATTGGTTATGAACTGGTGGCTTATTATACTCAATCACATTAATGAGAAGATGACATTGATGGTTTGAGTAGGCCCTCTCGGGCCCACTCACTTGTGACATCTTGCTCTCATGTGAATGTGTAACTTTGTTCGCAATGGTTGCGCACAAGTAAGTAGGCAGAAGCGCATTTGTATTGGCGCATTTAGTTCATTATGATATTTGTGACTGGATATGTGTAAGGGTATGATAGCTAGCCTCAGTCTTGACACATTTATAGATTATGATACACATCTTAGTCAAGGCTATTTGATCTCCCATAAGTCAAAAGTTTTGAGATGATTTTTGACATTGCACAAATGAGGTTGAGATCAATTAGATAAGAGCTTTTGTGCTTTTAGTTTTGACCAAGGTGGCGAGTATCTATTTGAGTTTTTTTCTGAAAACTCTGTGAAGAGAGATGGATGCTTAGAAAATTGATTATTCCTAGTACTCAGCAACACAATGGTGTAGTAGAGATAAGGAATTAAATATTGTTTGTGTTAGGTGGATGATGGCGCAAAATGTTTCCCAATTGGGAATTGCACTAGTTTGTTGCCTATATGCTTAACTAAGTACCCTCCATATCAGATTTTACACTCCATTTAAGTAATGGGTTAGCAGAGAGCCATTTGTGAGCGATCTGTTACCATCAAGTAGCTTATCTTTATTTTACTTCTCTTAAGGTTGCGAAGTTAAGACCTAAAGATCTAGGGCGCATTATTGTATGCTGTCTTGTAAAAACTTAGGGTCATGTGGCGCATTATTGTATGCAGTCATGTAACCCTCCAGGTCATGTGCTTGTAGATAAGCAGCTTTGTGGGAGTGTAACTAAGTCACATAAAGTTTTCTTAGTAAAGGTGACGTGAATAGAGTTTTGGAACTCTATAAAATAGAAAATTCTAAGTATAGCGGTTTATGTAGCCTAGTTGAGAATGGAAAGAAATTTCCAATATCCTAGGGACAGTAGGAGCGATGTGCCTACTAGTGGATTACTCCATTAGAGAAGATTACTCTACATTCTAAGTTGCGTGGTAGAGAATGTGAAAATTTTCCACGTCATCAGTAGGTGATTGAGAGGGAAACATTCATGATTGCTCCACAAGATGATAAAGAGCCTAGGATAATGCCAAAGGCTCTCTAGTCCCCTACTTTTAGAAAAGTGGATCAATGTTGCACAATTTAAGACAAAGTCTTTGAGGATTAACCATTTCTATAATTTGGTTGACTTTTCGCTATGACGCGAAACTGTTCTAAAGTTATGCGCGATTTGGATAGTCATTTTTTGAGGCATAAGGCTCGCTAGATACCGAAAAGTCGCACCATTGAGGAAGGTGTAGACCATGAGAAGACTTTCTCCTGGGGAGTAAGGTTACTTTGACTTAGGCTATGATTGACACGAGTTCGAAATTTTGATTTGTGGACATTGTGACGCAACTTCTCGTTGGAGAATTGGATAGGTAGATCCGTGGGGATTTACCTTCTGCTTTTATAGTGAAAAGTTAGGAGCGCAAAAAGGATTGCTAGTTCTAATAAATCTTTTACGGCCTAAAACAGTTACCCAAATAGTGGTTCTTAGATTTCATCGATCCATGATAGGCCAACGATGATCGATGAAGACCACTGAGGCATGATCAATGGTATCCTAACAAAATTGAGCCTTATGGTCTGCCTGCATGACAAGAAAGAATTCAATATTTGTGGCCATTTTGGATTTTATCATTTTGACTCTGAATATCTGCTGTGGAAGATATTTGTTTGCATGTTTATTGATGTTTCATTGCTACAAACCAATTGTTTGAAGATTTTCAAGCCTCGTCTATTATGTGTTTTAATTGCACAAGTTGGCTACATGGTTGCAACATGTGGGCCCAGTTGTTTAGAATGAAATCATGAAAATGTAAGCATGGCGTTAACGGATACCATTTTAGTAGATATTAATTGTGAGTTCATATACGATAGGTGTATGACTATATATATAATTTAGTAATAAAGAAAATGAATAGAAGTTGTTTTTGAAATTATGAATATATAATCCATCTTTCAATGGCAATTTCTTTTTATTGATAATTATTAAACTGTTAAAGGCAATTTTTTTGAGGAAGAAAAAAATCGTGTCAAAAAACAAAAGACTCCCAAATAAATTGTTCAAATCGTGTCAAGAATTGATTTTGTATAATAAAATAAATGAGTGTGCTTAGATCGGGGGAGGCAGAATTTGAAGAAAATTATCAACTCAACCGTCCCAGATAAGTTGAGAAATTTCTCACCCGTCCTTGAACCATACATCTCAAAACTGTGTAGATAAATTGAACAAATTGTCGGTTTCAAATTAGCAATTTGAACAGGTGGATTACAGATAATTGATAACAGAGCATGGACACGTACTACATGATGATGTCAGTAGGCAAGATTGGCTCACTCACACGAGCAATCGCCCTTGGCGCTTGGGAGCGAGCAAGGATGAGACTGGTGGTTTATTTTTATTTGGAGCCAACAGAGGCTTAAATCATCCACTATGTATGTCGCCTTGGTTATAACCAAGATGAGGTCGTGTTAAGGACCAAACATGGATGTTAGTACCCACTTTCCATGTTGTGCCTGTTATGATTAGCTAGATGCGAGATCTCATTTGGCGCCTGGAAGGCGAGCAAATAGAGAATTCGGGTTAGGCGCTAGAAAGAGACTAGACTAAGATCTGTACGGTGTATCGAGTATGACGTCACTCTTTTGGAAGAGTTACTCCACCGTAGCATGTATTCATAGTCCATGTGCTTGGCGACCGAGTAATGAGGTGAGAGAATGGATCCCTGTTTCCTCACCGTGTGAGTCTTACGTGTCATTATTGATATGACTTTCACTTATGTACCCTTTTGTGACCTTTGACTATGTCACAAGGTAAGGGGTTTATATTTTGCTACCTTGGTATGTTGCTTGCGGTCATGTATGATTCGGCCTTAAGGGGCATCACTGGGAAATCGGTCAATCCTAAACTAAATGGCATAAGGGCAAAGGGAAGATCATCTAGTATTACATCACAATTGTATATTCACTGCCGACAACTCACATCGCTCTGTATGAGGCGGATTGAGTGTGAATATATTGCAAGAATTGAGAGGGTCAAACATGCTCTTTTGAGGGTTTAGAGATGTTTTTGGACCGGTGTAATTAGATGGGTTTGGGATATATGAGACACTATTTCTATTTTTTGGGTTGACGTCTCTATGTTGGCTCATTTTGAGTTTCTAGTATAGAGCTCCCACATGCAAGTGTTTCTCAGTGGTCGCACGGTTCATTGGCTAGTATGTGATTGTTCAATATTTGGGAGATTGAGATAGAGATGTGGCAGTATCATGCCAACTCATGTGCGAGTGGGAGATGTTGGAAATTGGGCCGGGTATTGGACCCGAATTTGGGCACCCATGTGGCATGACCCATGGCCCATTCAAATTACATGGGTAATTTGAATTTGATTTCCCGATTATCCTATTTGTTAGGATAACCCTCTATCTATCTACATCCATCCTATCCTTAGGAGATATGGATAGATGGATATATATGGTTATATATCTGATTATATGTTTTAATATATAGAACATCAGATATGTGATGTGGTTTTTTACCCATAACATTTTTTCCCTATACTCTCTCTCTAACTCTCTCCCATCAGAGAGCGATCTAGCCTTTGCACTGTGACTAGTGTCGGTGATACTCATACTGTAGTATCACTCCATTGCTGGTTGTTCATAGTTAATGGTTGTCAAGCATGTGATTTACCAACAAGGTTCTTCGTTTCGAATTCTTTTACGCAAGGTATGGTTTGAATCCTTTTACCCGTTGCGTTATTTGTATCTTACAACTTAAAAGACTTTTCTTCATTTTTACGTACATACACATCTATGATAAATTGTATGTATATATAATGTTATGTTGACTTTTTTTGTGTGATGTTGTGTATGAAGCTTTTCATAGTCATTGTTGCCTATGAAGCACGGGTACAGGTACGAATACGAATACTAGTACTGGTACGATATGGGTACATCAATATGGTAAAATTTTTAAAAAATAGGGTACGGGTAAGGCTTGGTACGCTTGTAAAAAAATATTCATTTTTAATTTAGAGTAATGAAAAAATTAATTAAATGATTTAATTTGTTAAGGTTCAACTTACAATTAAACATTTAATGTCAAAAGTAAAGGTATAAATCAAAGGTAAATGTCAATATATTAAATAACTTACAAACCATAGTTTAATTTTAAAATCACGCTAAGTATAAAACAAAAAATAAAAAAGAATCTAGTGAAAGGAGTTTTATCTCTGCAGTAGAAGAAAATATTATTTCAACTGAGGTACGGTACGGCTTGGGTATATACTAGGTACGTCTGGATACGCCAAAAATTAAAAAGAAAAAGCTTGGGTATGTGTTGTGTACCCGGTCAGTACGTATGCAGAAGTACCATACGAGGAATATACATATTTGCTCTATCAAAGAGGGATAGACTTTCCAATTCCTCCAAACCAATATTATAGAGAAGAAGAACATTCAATTATCTCCTTGGATTTGCTCAATAATTTTATACTATCACCACCACCTTGATTTAAATGACATCACTTAAAAGATTTTTCGTCATTTTTACGTACATATGCATCTACCATAAATTGTATATATATAAAATTTATTTTGATTTTTTTTTTTTGTGTGATGTTGTGTATGAAGCTTTTCATAGTCATTGTCGCTATATGCTTAGCTAGATATAGTGATCTATCTGCCTATAATTTTCATTTCTTTCACTGTTATTAATTTCCTATGTCAAATGTGTTACAAAGAGATTAAATAACTTCAATTTGATGATGGCATTATTATCCCATGAAAAAAAAAAACACAAAAATTGATGATATTCTAAACATAAAATTTAACAGGGACCGGACTTGGACTCTTTGATGATTCATCGGTCTTGCATTGCACTCTGCGAGATTAGATACAGGACCATGACATTTGAGTCATGAACTGTGGTGAGCCCCAAATGAACAGAACGGGATTTCCCTCCCGGGGCGTTCGGGGACGTCTACACCGATCTGTTTTCAAAGAATACATAGAGGTGTCAAAGAAAATTTGTTATTTTTCTCTACAATAGTGTATTAAAGCACTTTTCATTTATCAACAAGAAAAGCAAACAAGTGTTGCAATTCTTTGTAATAATAGTCTCTCTTATTCTGTGTGCATTACAGGTTTGCACAAGCTCTCTCTATTGAACATGGAAAGTTGCCCTGTTACTACCACTACAGGAAATTAGGGATTTAACGGCGTTTAATTAATGACGTTTTATTAAACATCACTTTTTCTAATAATTAACGGCGTTTTTTAAACGTCGTATTTGATATGAATCAAAACGATCCTGTTTTATGAATAGAAGACGCTTTGAAGTGCCTCCAAATCCTGTCTATAAGATAGAGAATTCTAAGTATAGTGCTTTTATGTAGCCTAGTTGAGAATGGAAATAAATTTCCAATATCCTAGGGACAGTGGGAGCGATGTGCCTACTAATGGATTACTCCATTAGAGAAGAATACTCTACATTCTTAGTTGTGTGGCAGCGAATGTGAAAATTTTCCACGTCATCACTGGGTGATTGAGAGGGAAACATTCATGATTGCTCCACAAGATGATAAAGAGCCTAGGATAATGCCAAAGGCTCTCTAGTCCCCTACTTTTAGAAAAGTGGATCAATGTTGCGCAGTTTAAGACAAAGTTTTTGAGGATTAACAATTTCTATAATTTGGTTGACTTTCCGCTATGACGCGAAACTGTTCTAAAGTTATGCGCAATTTGGATAGTCATTTTTTGAGGCATAAGGCTCGCTAGATACCGAAAAGTCGCACCATTGAGGAAGGTGTAGACCATGAGAAGACTTTCTCCTGGGGAGTAAGGTTACTTTGACTTAGGCTATGATTGACATGAGTTCGGAATTTTGATTTGTGGACGTTGTGACCCAACTTCTTGTTGGAGAATTGGATAAGTAGATCTGTAGGGATTTACCTTCTGCTTTTATGGTGAAAAGTTAGGAGCGCAAAAAGGATTGCTAGTTACGGCCTAAAACAGTTACCCAAATAGTGGTTCTTAGATTTCATTGAGCCATGATAGGCCAACGATGATTGATGGAGACCACTGAGGCATGATCAATGGTCCAAAAGAAGTTTTTCCTTACTTAGTCATTATGAGCCAGGAATTTATACGGTTGTCTCCACCTAGGGTTGGCAGTCCTCTGTTTTAGACATGATGAACACGGGTGATGTTATTTATATGCTCGGATGTAAGATCCTTAGAGATTGTTCTGGGAGAATTCTCGGTTTGTCCTTAATGACTTACATAAGGAATATCCTAGAATGATTCTAAATGCGAAATTGCAAACCCATTGACTTACCTATCGGTAAAAGCTAGAGCCTTAGCTATTGAGTGAATCCTCGGATTGTCTTTGGGAGAAACAAATGACCTATATTCCTTGATTGTTTTTTTGTGGGAGCCTGAAGTATGCCATGTGGGTGTATTCGGCATAATGAGTGCTATCTCTTTAGATGGTCAACTGAGTAGTTTTAGACCTTGACCTTGCTCATTAGATTGTGGATAGGATGCTTTACTAGTAGTGTATAAATTTGCCCTTTGTAAGATTCAATGCGCTAGTTGGGTGCATCTTGAATGAACGTAGATTGGTCACCAAAATATCTTTAGAGAGGTAATTGCACAAGAGGTAGTGATCTTGAACCACTTCATGTGAGGCGCACATGGTGGATTCCGTTGTATATGCTTATCGCGTGAGGTGCTGATAAGGTTTATGCTTGGAATCCAGAATTGCGCAGACTGTGGTCGTGTTTTTTTTAAAATCGATCACTTATTTGTTGTGAGATGATGGGATGTTGACACTATTATGGTTTGCGTCATAACGATTAGCAGATGATGATGTGTGCAGGCAAGATTGGCTCACTCACATGAGCAATCACCCTTGGTGCTTGGGAGCGAGCAAGGATTAGTGGTTTATTTTTATTTAGAGCCAAGAAAGACTTAAATTATCCACTATATATGTCGCCTTGGTTACAACCAAGATGAGGTTGTGTCAAGAATCAAACATGGATGTTAGTACCCACTTTCCATGTTGTGCCTGTTATGATTAGCTAGATGTGAGATCTCATTTGGCGCCTGGAAGGTGAGCAAATAGAGAATTCGGGTTAGGCGCTAGAAAGAGACTAGACTAAGATCTGTACGGTATATCGAGTATGACGTCACTCTTTTGGAAGAGTTACTCCACCGTAGCATGTATTCATACTCCATGTGCTTGGCAACCGAGTAGTGAGGTGAGAGAATGGATCCCTGTTTCCTCACCGTGTGAGTCTTACGTGTCATTATTGATATGACTTTCACTTATGTACCCTTTTGTGACCTTTGACTATGTCACAAGGTAAGGGGTTGATATTCTGCTACCTTGGTATGTTGCTTGCGGTCATGTATGATTCGGCCTTAAGGGGCATCACTGGGAAAGCGGTCAATCCTAAACTAAATGGCATAAGGGCAAGGGGAAGATCATCTAGTATTACATCACAGTTGTATATTCACTGTCGACAACTCACATCGCTCTGTATGAGGCGGATTGAGTGTGAATATATTGCCAGAATTGAGAGGGTCAAACATGCTCTTTTGAGGGATTAGAGATGTTTTTGGACCGGTGTAATTAGATGGGCCTGGGATATATGAGACACTATTTCTATTTTTTGGGTTGATGTCCCTATGCTGGCTCATTTTGAGTTTCTAGTATAGAGCTCCCACATGCAAGTGTTTCTCAATGGTCGCACGGTTCATTGGCTAGTATGGGATTGTTCAATATTTGGGAGATTGAGATAGAGATGTGGCAGTATCATGCCAATTCATGTGCGAGTGGGAGATGTTGGAAATTGGGCCGGGTATTGGACCCGAATTTGGGCACCCATGTGGCATGACCCATGGCCCATTCAAATTACCCATGTAATTTGAATTTGATTTCCCGATTATCCTATTTGTTAGGATAACCCTCTATCTATCTACATCCATCCTATCCTTAGGAGATATGGATAGATGGATATATATGGTTATATATCTGATTATATGTTTTAACATATAGAACATCAGATACGTGATGTGGTTTTTTACCCATAACATTTTTTCCCTATACTCTCTCTCTAACTCTCTCCCATCAGAGAACGATCTAGCCTTTGCACTATGACTAGTGTCGGTGATACTTATACTGTAGTATCACTCCATTGCTGGGTGTTCATAGTTAATGGTTGTCAAGCATGTGATTTACCAACAAGGTTCTTCGTTTCGAATTCTTTTACGCAAGGTATGGTTTGAATCCTTTTACCCGTTGCGTTATCTGTATCTTACAACTTAAAAGACTTTTCTTCATTTTTACGTACATATACATCTATGATAAATTGTATGTATATATAATGTTATGTTGACTTTTTTTGTGTGATGTTGTGTATGAAGCTTTTCATAGTCATTGTTGCCTATGAAGCACGGGTACAGGTACGAATACGAATACTAGTACTGGTACGATACGGGTACGTCAATATGGTAAAATTTTTAAAAAATAGGGTACGGGTAAGGCTTGGTACGCTTGTAAAAAAATATTCATTTTTAATTTAGAGTAATGAAAAAATTAATTAAATGATTTAATTTGTTAAGGTTCAACTTACAATTAAACATTTAATGTCAAAAGTAAAGGTATAAATCAAAGGTAAATGTCAATATATTAAATAACTTACAAACCATAGTTTAATTTTAAAATCATGCTAAGTATAAAACAAAAAATAAAAAAAAAAAGTCTAGTGAAAGGAGTTTTATCTCTGCAGTAGAAGAAAATATTATTTCAACTGAGGTACGGTACGGCTTGGGTATATACTAGGTACGTCTGGATACGCCAAAAATTAAAAAGAAAAAGCTTGGGTATGTGTTGTGTACCCGGTCGGTACGTATGCAGAAGTACCATACGAGGAATATACATATTTGCTCTATCAAAGAGGAATAGACTTTCCAATTCCTCCAAACCAATATTATAGAGAAGAAGAACATTCAATTATCTCCTTGGATTTGCTCAATAATTTTATACTATCACCGCCACCTTGGTTTAAATGACATCACTTAAAAGATTTTTCATCATTTTTACGTACATATACATCTACCATCTGGAAGGCGAGCAAATAGAGAATTCGGGATAGGCGCTAGAAAGAGACTAGACTAAGATTTGTACGGTGTATCGAGTATGACGTCACTCTTTTGGAGGAGTTTCTCCACCGTAGCATGTATTCATACTCCATGTGCTTGGCGACTGAGTAATGAGGTGAGAGAATGGATCCCT